GATCAAACCTCTTCTCCATTGTATTAAATTTTGTTGTCATTATTCAGATATTTCTAGCTATTTTTCTTGGAATTTTCTAGTGAATTTATGGATCATCCCCGGAAATAACGGAAACTGCGAGCCAAAATATCAGCAAAAAAAATAATACGAGCTGGATTGCTGATGCCTGATGTCATCTTGTGATGTTCTTTACGAAATTTCTCATTGCGAATTTTACATCTAAATACTTTTAGGCGAATCATTTACGCAAAGAAAAATCAACTCATGGAATATTAGTATGAACTTTGACAACAACCTTCTTAACAAAAGAACAAAGAAAAAGTTTGACTACCTTGGATTAGATTCACTCTTTTGGTAAGTCAAAAAAGTTACCTAAGTATTTGACTTCTAAATACAAAAACGGAAGTGAAAAATATATATATCTTCAAACACGAATAAAAGATTGTTACGCTATATGAGCGTCTACGCAATACGCATAGATGTTATTTGTTAGGCACCGATTTTAAACCTAAAATGTAGATTAGTCTCTTTCTAGCTATGTGCACCCCTGTATGTGTAGTACTTCGTTCAATTAGCCCTCTCATATGTTTTTGAAACCTAACACACAAATTTGATTGTGAAAATTTTCTTTTTTTACTGGTTTACGTTTTCGTCTGATTTTCTAAACGTGTATTGATGATCATACGTTAAAATATCTATATATTATCAGTGGCTTTGATTGATGTAGAGTTTTGAAAGATATTCCTCGATTAAACATTGTTGCTTGTCGAATAAATTTTTGACTTACTTGTCAACGAAAGAATATATATACTTTCTCTAATAGGACAAGTAATTTTAAGTACTGTTGGTATAATTGCATACGTATATCTGATATAGATATAGATATTATTTGTTCTTTAAAAATACGGCTCACAAAACTCATAGTGTGGGATACTTTTTTCGTTTAATTATATCTTTGTGATATACACTTGTAAATTTCCGCCTTTATTTGGTCATATAATAATCAATAGCTATTTTACAATTTTCTTAAAAAGTTATAAAGAAAACCCATTAATAGCAGACGTTGGCTTTGAATGGTAACCCATTTTAAAGCTGTACAGCTTTGTACAGCTTTGACAGTTACCAATCACAAAAACTTTATGAAAAACGGTACACTATAATATAAACAGTTTTTTTTGGATAAAAACAAAAACAAATTAAAACGGTTACGGTTAAATACTGTTATGGTTAAATACGGTTACGATTAAATACGGTTATAACGGTTACGGTTATAACGGTTACGGTTGAATACGGTTACGGTTACAATATGAACATTCGATAATTGTTTTTGCATTATATGGAGTTACAATTATATTTTTAAAGTTTTAACTATGCGGTTAACCATATGGTTAAATAACGGTTTTCATATGTTTACCGTTAATTAACGGTTACGGTTAATATATTTTTTAACTGTAACTAATTATTTTTTACGGTTAACGGTTACGGTTTTTAACCGTTTTATACGGTTACGGTTGAGAAACGGTCCGGTTACGGTACAAAATATAATTGTAGCTTTAGGCATGACCAAAAGCTAACCGTAACCGTATTTTGGATCGTAACTGGACCATTTTTCAACCGTAACTGTATAAAACGGTTAAAAACCATAACCATTCACCGTAAAAGTAGATTAGTTACGGTTAAAAAAAATATACTAACCGTAACCGTTAATATACCGGAAACGTATCAAAACCGTTATTTAACCGTACGATTAGCCGCACGGTTAACCGTATTATTAACCGCATAATTAAACTTTATAAAATATAATTGTAACTATGTATAATGCAAAAAAAAAAGTCTCGAATGTTCAGATAAAGATTTCCGAAAAAGTAAATAATAAAGCCTATGAAAAAATCTCATTAGAAATAATGATTTTTTTCTCAAACAATTATTTTGGAATGTTATATTGCTCAAAATGAGGAAAATTTTATTTATTATAGGACTAGTAAATTCATATTATTATTCTAACAATAAAATATTGTTCATTCTATATAATCTTAAATTTCATATGTAATTATATACTAAAGTACATTTCTATGTAATTTTTTTTTCTTTCTAAATTCTTAATATTATTTATTATCTGTACCGCTATGATGTTTCCAATCAGAGTAAATTTTTAAAATTTGTTCTGCGTTATTTTTTGTACAGCTTTCGTGTTTTATTCTTTTGTACAGCTTTGCACTATTCCCTAACAGCTAACAGCTCCAGCTACCAGCTAACAGCTTGTTACCAATCAGACCCGTTATCTTTATGTATAGCGTCTTTTACTTTCCTCAGCATCTTCTTCTAGAATTTCCTTGCACTATATAATAGAACATTCCAAAACAAACACTGAGAAATGAGAATTTAACTAGATAGACAAGAATATAAATTGGAAAGCAGATGACACTTTGACGGGAATCATATCTTTGCTATAAATTACCATCTTGTTCTCGTATCTAATTCTGGTTAATATCTACAGACTAAACTTTGACCTCAATTTTTCTTTGTTTTGGAGCTCAAATATTACTATCCCCGATGTTATAATTCAGTAGTAACCATTAACCAACTATGAAACATCGAGTTTAAAATCTAAGGCTAGCCATTATTTCTTTCAAACAAAGAATAAATCGTTTATCAAAAAAGCCAAAAAAAAAAATCATAAAACAAATAAATTTTCGTTCTTATCAAAAAAAAAAAAAAAAAAAAATTCGTTCTTATCACTTGATATGATTACATATTTTTTGTGTTTGTTTAAAAAAAAGGTTAGAAAACTATTAAAATATGTGTTCACACGAAATAAAATGTTGATTATATATAGTAAACTCATTTGATTTTCATGGATGATCAAAATTAAACAAATTCAGCAAAAAAGTCGCATGAAAATAAAATACGTGAAGGCACCAAACTAGTATACTATAAAACACCAAGTACACGTGTCAACCAATCACTATGGAGTCCAGCTGTAATGGTCCCCGTTTCTTGTCGCCACGATACATTGACCAAAACGTTTCAAAATACCGCGAGAAGTTGTTCCAAGAGAACGCCGTTATTTGTGTGTACCGGGAAACGGAAGATAGTGTTAGCTTAGGGTTTTAGAAAAGGCTTTGTGAGAGTTTGGTGCCGGTATTTTGTGGGACAACTCCGTTAGAAACTACTGCGGATTAACCGGGTACTGCCGGTTTTACGGTCCTGGTCAACCGGGTAAATCCCGTTATAAAATCTGTGCCCTCATTTATGCCCTTTTGTATCTCTCATAAGCTTCCATATATGTTTGCATTTGTCATTTGATATTGTCACATTAGTATAAAAATTAGTTTGTACTTAGAAAAAAACTTAACTAATTCAATCCTAAAAAATTGAGTTGAAATCGAACTACTAACATTTGCTAAAATCGAACTAAAATGTGAATATTAAAACCAAAATCAAACCGAAACCCAATTTATCAACTAGAGTAAATCGAACTAAATAATTCAAAATATATTAGATTTTAAATTTAATTTAAATTATATAAATTTTTTTTATAATTTCATTTATTTGAAACCAAACCGATATTCACAAAAAAAAAAAAAAATTGAAACTAAATTGAGTTACAAATAATTTAATTTGGTCTCAGTTTTTTATAAACTAAAAAAAGTTGTAAGCTAGATTTTACACCTTGCTATATTTAGTAAAAATTAATAAACCTAATTCAATGTCTACCAAGGTTTGTAATTGTAATAGAGGTTTCGTTTCGAGTAAATTCGTTCTTAAACTAATTGAACCTGAATTCAAGATATGCAACATGATCATTTTTATCAACTACATATATACATTCTAAAGTTTTCATATGGACGGTGGATATAACAATAACACTAAGTTAACCATTATATATATTGCGTGTTCTGTTTACATGATCATTTCATTACCTTTATTTTCTACAGCACATGATCATTTCATTTAAAGAGAATAATTTAAGTTAAATCAGGGGGTAGGAAAAAACAATGGGATTATTGTGCGATTATTGTTGATTTTGCCCTTTTTTATCAAAATCTTTTGAAAATGTCATTTTCATTAAAATCTTACGGATTTACCATTTTTTTACACTTAAAAATGTACGTATTTCGGATTTTTTTTGGTAAAAATACGTAGTTTATACAAAATACTAAACCCTAAGAACAACCACAACCGACTAAACCCAAACATAACGAATAAAACGCATGTTAAATCATATTTCCGTAGCCTGAAAAAGGACAAAATCCATAAACTATTCAAAAAAGGGTAAAATCCACAAATGCCATACCAAAAATGGCAAATCCATAATTGATTCGGATTATTGTTGATTTTGCCCTTTTTTACCAAAATCTTTTGAAAATGCCATTTTTACTAAAATATTACGGATTTGCCATTTTATAACACTTAAAAATGTACGTATTTACGATTTTTTTAATAAAAATACGTATTTTATACCAAATACTAAACCCTAAGAACAAATGGAACCGACTAAACCCAAACATAACGGATAAAACGCATGTTAAATCACATTTTTATACCCTGAAAAAGGTCAAAATCCACAAACTATTCAAAAAAGGGCAAAATCCACAAATGCCATTAAAAAAAATGGCAAATCCATAATTGATTCAAAAACAATTCAACCATCAAATAATATATTTTATTAACTAAAAATAAAGTGGGCGAATTCGAGAGTACTATATAGTTTGAATGTCCTTAAAACTATACTACTATTAAACCTTTTTATTCAAGCCAGTACGGGTATTGACCAATGTAGAAAATAAAAATATATAAATACCACTTTTTGTAATGAAACTAACTAAAATAAAATAAACGACAATATAAAATTAAATCCAATTAAACACGAATAGTAAGCCGTTCACTTAAATCCTGGACTTTAACATACTGTGAAATTACCTTTATACCCTTCGATATCTTCTTCACCCTCTTCCTTCTTCCCTCTATATATATGAAGTCTTTCTCTTCCAGTTTTCCTCACACCCTTAAAGCTTCAAGAAAACCAGATCAAGCTTCTTTCACCATTTTCACTCTTCTTTAAGCTTTCTTTCTAAAGTTTCTCTCATTTCGTATTTTAAACACAAACCTAAACGATGCCTGAGGCACCAAAGATCGTAGCTTCGGAGGTTTCTGATGAGAGCCTCGCGGAGAAGAACAAGAACAAACTCCAATTCATCGAAGACGTGACCACGAACGCAGATGATGTTCAGAGACGAGTTCTTGAAGAGATCCTTTCACGTAATGCTGACGTGGAGTATCTCAAACGACACGGGCTCGATGGACGAACCGACCGTCAGACTTTCAAACATGTCATGCCTGTCGTAACTTACGAAGATATTCAACCTGAGATCAACAGAATCGCTAATGGTGATAAATCTCAAATCCTCTGTTCTAACCCCATCTCTGAGTTCCTCACAAGGTTTGACCATTTATCTTTTTATATTCCTCTCTACATTTCTCGATTCTTTTTTTTTTTCATTTCTTGTTTTCATAATTGAGATCTTTAAGACCCTTAAGAGTCTATCTATGCTTCTCTGTTTTTTTGCTCTGTTTCATCACTTAGGCTAAGATTTAAGATTCGAATCTCTAATGGGGTACTTAAAAAGGTTTTAACTTTCTCATCCAAAAAAGAAGTCGCAACCTTTTCTTATGGGTCTACTTTTTCGAAATCATTTGGAAAAAAATATTCAAAGCAATTTCGAGCCTAATATGGATTTATGTCAACAGTTCTGGGACTTCTGGTGGAGAGAGGAAACTGATGCCAACAATCGAAGAGGAACTAGACAGAAGATCACTTCTGTACAGTCTCTTGATGCCTGTGATGAACCAGTTCGTTCCTGGTCTTGACAAAGGCAAAGGAATGTATTTTCTGTTTATCAAATCCGAATCCAAGACACCAGGTGGTCTCCCTGCTCGTCCTGTTTTAACCAGTTACTATAAATCCTCTCACTTCAAAAACAGACCTTTTGATCCTTACAACAACTACACAAGTCCCAACCAAACCATCCTTTGTTCTGACTCTTACCAGAGCATGTACTCTCAAATGCTTTGTGGTTTATGCCAACACAAAGAGGTTCTTCGTGTTGGTGCTGTTTTTGCCTCGGGTTTCATTAGAGCCATCAAATTTCTTGAGAAACATTGGCCTGAGCTAGCCCGTGACATTAGAACCGGTACCCTCAGTTCCGAGATAACCGATCTTTCAGTTCGTGAGGCGGTCGGGGAGATTCTTAAACCGGATCCTAAGCTTGCTGATTTCGTCGAATCGGAATGCAGGAAGACTTCTTGGCAAGGGATCATCACTAGGCTTTGGCCAAATACCAAGTATGTGGATGTGATTGTGACCGGAACAATGTCACAGTATATTCCAACTCTGGATTATTATAGCAATGGTTTGCCTCTAGTCTGCACAATGTATGCTTCTTCGGAGTGTTACTTTGGTGTGAATCTCAGGCCTCTCTGCAAACCAAGTGAAGTCTCTTACACTCTCATACCGAACATGGCGTATTTCGAGTTCTTGCCTGTTCATAGGAACAGTGGAGTCACTAGCTCAATCAGTCTTCCAAAAGCACTCACTGAGAAAGAACAGCAAGAGCTTGTTGATCTCGTTGATGTCAAGCTTGGTCAGGAGTATGAGCTTGTTGTCACCACCTATGCTGGTAAGAAAACCAACCACCTTTCATTGATTTGCTTTAGTTACCAAAGATTGAATCTTTGAACTAAATGTGAGAATCTTTAATTCATTTGCTTACAAAAGATTGAATGTTGTGTTGTTTTGTGATTATCTATGCAGGACTTTACAGGTACAGAGTGGGTGATGTCCTAAGCGTGGCTGGTTTCAAGAACAATGCGCCTCAGTTCAGCTTCATATGCCGAAAGAACGTTGCTCTAAGCATTGACTCAGACAAAACCGATGAGGTTGAGCTTCAAAACGCAGTTAAAAACGCGGTAACACACCTTGTTCCGTTTGATGCCTCACTCTCCGAGTACACTAGCTATGCGGACACATCATCTATCCCAGGCCACTATGTCTTGTTCTGGGAGCTCTGCTTGAATGGTAACACGCCAATTCCTCCCTCGGTCTTCGAGGATTGCTGTTTAACCATAGAGGAATCACTTAACAGTGTGTATAGACAAGGAAGGGTCAGTGACAAGTCCATTGGACCATTGGAGATCAAGATGGTCGAGTCAGGGACTTTCGATAAGCTCATGGATTACTCGATAAGCTTGGGGGCATCGATCAATCAGTACAAGACACCAAGGTGTGTGAAGTTTGCTCCGATCATTGAGCTTTTGAACTCTAGGGTTGTTGATAGTTACTTCAGCCCCAAGTGTCCTAAATGGTCCCCTGGTCACAAGCAATGGGGGAGTAACTAAAGAGGAAACTTTGAGGACGAAGAGAGACTCTCTATGAAGTAGAAGGTTCTGTTTTTGTAATCAAATGAATATCGAGAAAAGTGATTAATCATTATGTCTGTTTGTTCTAATTTTAATCTTAATTTAATTTTGCTTTACTGTTTTTGTTTTGAAATATGTTTAGCTTCTAGTCATATGTACATAGCCGGTTTATGTTTCTCTAAGTGACTCTTTTATGTTTCTCCAGCCTTTTAGAAGTTTTAATCCATTTTATTTCTTACTATTCTTGCAATTAGCTAAGGTTAAGGCTAAAAGGAGAAGATAGTATTATTAACATATGAGTATGACGCATGTATATGAGAACTTTACTTGTTCTAGTATTTGCTTCAAAAAGCAAAATCATTAGAAAGTCATAATTTTCTCTTATTGTTATGCGTTTTTTTGTAGATTGTACTCCGAGAGATGAACAAGAATCATCAAAATTTCAAGGATCGAAAAAGAGTTTATTTTTAGGTTTCAAGGAATATAATTTAGTTCATTAAATAATTGAGAGCATGTAGATCCGCGCGACAGTTTATCCTTTGTATGTAATATAATAGTGTTATGCATTTTCATACTATACTATTATACAATTCGAGAACAAGTATTTAATCATTAACGAAGTAGCATAAATAAATAAATAATTCTTGTTGCATTCTAATAGTTTAGATATAATATATGAATATACAGATCATCTCGGAAGTATCTCAAATATGACGAAATTTTGCCAAGTTGTGAGTTCCCTGTGTGACCATCAGAGACCACAAAACTGGCCTGAAATCGTTCTCTACGTTTAACAGACTCAAATTTTAGTAAATAAAACAATTCAAAAAAAAATGGCAAAAATGCTTACAAGTAACAGTTTTTTATTATTTTTTTTATTTTTCTGCTATGGGAAACAGACCATACTCCCAATGGCTTCCGACATTATTCAGATTTCAGAGAAAGGAGATGTTTTAGTTAGAAATTACTCAATTAGTAGAAACTGACAAATTCATATATAAAACCGATTCTTATATTATTTTCTTAGTATATCCTAATTAGCCGCTAGAAAGCATTGTGGGTTCTAACATAACCAAGATCTCCATAAACAATTTACTATTTAATTTTGTGATATTTTATGAATGTAGTACAAACTTCTTCCCCAGAAGATATGAAAGTTACTCATGGTTAGCTTTGTTCTTGGAATATCATACCAAGGATACAAGTACATTACGGCCACGACCGGAGAAGTCTTATTCTAGAGTTATCTGTGTCTTATCTATTTCTCTGACTTCCGATTTTTTTTTAATAACATTCATAAATAATTGTATATACTGAAAAGTGTTTTACAGAGGATTGTTTAAATTTTGAAGGAGTAACAAAACAGATTTTAAAAGAGCTAAAATTAAAGAAAACATAGATATAATCACCAACATAGTTAAGGAAGGTGGAGATTATAGGCATCTATCTATCTAAATGATTCCAGTTGTTTTGATTTTGTTCTCACCAAAAACTTAAACTCTTTGGTCTACCTAATATTGAAACCAAATTTTTTCACAATCATTTTCTTGGACGACAAAGAGAATGACAAGAACTTTCAATAATTTGGTAAATACTACAAAATAGAAAAGGAGAAAATTTGAGATGGCACAAAACCGAGTGTCGGGTATTTGCTGGATTTGTCACGTGGCCATTCCGATAATCGCTCAAATATACTAAACACGTGTGGCTAAAAATTTGTTTGACTTTTTGAGTTTTGACCGACCCCATAAGGTACACCGCACGTGCGCTACATCAAAGCTTTGCTCCCTATTTGGGCTTACATGGTAGGCTCGTTATCTTGGCCCAGTAGTACTGTAGAAGTAAAACGACAGTGTATGATGTGTTCTGCATTTCGATTTTCCTGTCTCCAACTATTTATTTATTTATTTTTATTTTATCCAGTTTCGATATAATTTTCTGTAAAATAAAAAGCACAGTATTTTCTTACAATTTATTTATTTGATTCTTGTAATTTTATTTTCTCAAATCAGTGACAAAGTAGTCTTACAAATGGTACTTTGATCGTTTGGTGTCATATGCTAGAGTGAATTTCCTTGTTAACATCAAAATGACAATAAAAAAGATATATAGTATATGCTTTAACCCTTTCTTTGGGTCAAACATTCACTTATATTAGAACTTGATGCTACAACACGAGAAATCTAAGATCTCTTTGCCAAAGAATCAAAAATAAAAAAATGATACACAACAGAAATACAAAGGGTGGTAAAAAGGAAAAAAAAAAAAAACTGTTACAATCATTATAGGTCATATACTCATATATGCTAATACGGTTGTACCAATAACCAAAACTAGGGTTTAGAAAAAAGGAGAAAGGTAAATGAGCTTATTAGAATAATAAATATGATTAATTTAAGTGTTTCTTATGTCCCATCAGGACAATAACATGATAAGTATATAATACTACTGATTAGAACACTATAACTACAAACATGCTCATGGGATGTTTCAAATTTGGACAGTGGAGTATACGTGTAGATATCGTATACTTGTATACACATACTGACATACAGTGACACACAAACCACAAACATAACACTATGCAATGTTTGCGTGTCTCATGACCACAAATTATCATAAATCATAAATTCATAATATACATCTTCTTCTGACGTAATTATTATTATTTCCCTAACCAAATTGGTTAACCGTACCCAGTCTATATAGCATGAGTTATTTTTATCCTAGTTTTTTCGCCTATAAGAGTAAATATGATGCCAAAGTTTTAAAATTGGCGGAAAGCTACAATGAGAAGTTAACAAATTATACAAGTGTTAACTAAATTTCTAGATTGTTTTTATTCAATAATTTCATTACGAAATAGTAGATTTGAAGTTTTCCCAAGACAGTTTGAATAGTTACCATAAAGTTTTACCATCGCATATATATTAATAGATTTATGATTAATACTTAAAACCAAACATACTCTAATACATGGTGGATTAACATGTTGATCGCGGCCAAATTTCGATTTCAATATGGTACGCATAAGGTTTTTTTTTTCCTCATCAAACTGGTACGCATAAGTTATCTATGCTGATTTCACTAAAAATTCAAGATTTCATGGTTTAATGATTTAAGAAAACTTGGTTAAGACTTATACTTTCATCTTACTGAAAACTAGAACTACGAGAACTCAATATTAAATAAGCAAAATTGGAAAATAAAAGTATAAGAAATGGCATCTTCACTTGGAAAAATATACGAATCAATTAGAAAAAAGTCCCATTTTTAGTGGTACTCGTGAATTTTGTCATTTTTTCGTGAAATATTTTAGATTTGCTATTTTCTCATACCTAAAACATACAATTGAATTTTTATGTAATATGGTTTGAGTTTTTTTTGTTCCACTTTTTTAGGATTTAGTGTTTGTTATTAAGTATGTATTTTATAAAAAAAACTCATAAATGTATAGTTTTTATAATGACCAAAAATGGCAAATCCAAAAGATTTGGATGATAAAATGGTAAAATTAACAATAATCCAAAAAAAATATTTTAGTAGATACTTTCATTATTCATCGAACGACATGATACTTTTTTTTCGGGTCATGCACATGTTACAACTTATACCTAACATAGTGTTGCCACTCGTTCATGCAACAAATTAATGAAATGATGATGTGAACTTTGTTATTATATTAACTCTTTCTTGTTTTATTTGAGGTTATATTCTATTCATGCATGCTTACTAAATATGTTCCTTCCACGGATTGTTGGATATGCTATAGTATTAGCTAAATTATTTAAGGGGACATCTCTTTAGGTTTTAGTCACTTTTGTGCAATGTTTTAATTAGAAAAAAATAGTATTAAAATTCTAGGCGAATAAACCAAAGTGATCCCTCACGTTTAAAATATTTAAGTCTGAAGACTATGTTTACTGGTCTCTTCATTATTTTTAGTCTTTCAGATCCAATATCAACCGACAACCATAGTAAATAAGTAGAGCAAATCCATAAAAAAATATAATTATTCTTCCTCAAACTCTCAACTGATATTATGTATGACCTCAGATTCAATTAAATCAAAATAGTCTGATTCTGACCATTGAGCTAACTATGATATCATTTTCTCTTTTATATAACAATAAAAACAATTGATTTTAATCTTATACTTTGACATGATAATAATGATGTCTTCGTCTAACTAATTTATTTATGTCGCTCATATGTAACTGTTCTTTTGGATACGTTCGTGAAATACTACTATTCGTATGGATAGGGTATCACTACTAAGTACTAACCATTTTTAATGTATAAAAGTATTATAATTATTTTTTCATTTTGATAATTTATTATTTATAATTTATTAAAATGGTTTGTTTTCGACTTTCACTAATCTATATATCTATGCTACAGTATCCTCTAAAATATCCTTCATTAATCCCCGTTCTTAAGCATATTCGAAATCCATGATGCTCAAGCTTGAACGAAACCTTATAATCTTAGAATATTCCATGTTTATCGTCATGAAAGAAAAATTAAAGAATTGAAGATTTTAAGGTATATTTACATTTGAATCATGTTTAGCACCGGACCACTCTTAGGGTTTTTTTTTTTCTCGCTTTGTTGCATGTTAATTAACATACTTTGTAATTTCTTCATCCATCTTATTAGTGATTTTAGTTGTTTATCATTTACTACAAAATCAATGTTATTATGAAAGATTGTTGTGAGTGAAATTATGTTAAACTAACTTCAAAGGGTTCAATATGAGACCCAATAGACAAAAAATAAAAAAAATGAGACCCAATAGAATAAAGAATAGATAACAAATTACAACCTGGCAAAGATTTTATAACATGAGTTATTATGAAACGTTTCATTAAGTTTTATAGCATGTGATTAACATAACTAATATATGAGTGACTCTAAGAGCATGATTATCCATAGTGTCTTAGAAATAAATCTTAGGAATATTTAAGTAATATATTTGTAAAATATGGATCTTAACTATGTTTTTGTTGCTCAGCTAAGAAACTCTCTTAGCAATAATGGCTTAATTGAGATTTAAT